GAAAATCGCCGATTGATAAAAAAAAAAAGACGGGAAGAGAGGAAAAAAATAGAGATTGATTGAAGTGAAAAGATTAGGAGGAATCAGGCTGTGACTTCGAGCGTGACAGCGCTCGTCTATTTTATTTCAGCTACATGATCCTTGACCATAAGAGAATGTTTCACCATGTTAGCATAACAAGCGGTATCTAATCGAATTAAATCTCGCATTAAGTACATTGAATTGAATACAAATAAAGAGTATAATTATATTCACAATAAAAAATTTAATTCGATAAAAAGGTTGATATTTATTAAATTTAGCATGCGATTGAACAACTGAATTAAATTTGTTATTAATTAAATTCAATTTGTAAATAAGAAAATCGAATTAAGTCGTATAAGATTAGTAATTATGAGAATTGAATTGGATTGAACAACAGTAACGGATTCATCATCTCGAATGAAACTATAATTAAATCAAATCTGCGTAGTTTGCGCGGAAATGTTTCGAGGCTCAGGGAAAAAGATCGCTCTGATAACTTGATATAACTTGAGTAGATAATCTCTCCTGCGAAAGTGGTTCACTGGTAACTTTCTATGAGACTGTGGTTTCTCATCGCTTTCGCGTTCATTTCCCTTCTTTCTCGGTGGAAAATTAATTTCTGCGATTGCGAAAATCATGAGATGATTCTCATTTCTACTGTTTGACTAGCAGAAATCTTATTGGCAATGTATCTCATGTTACGCCGCGTAAAAAACTTACAAGTTGTATTATAATCACAAAGAAATCCACGCAGAAAAGTGAATGTAAACAAGAAATATCCAACGCTTGAATGATTACAGATACGAATTAATACAACGGTTAAATAATTTTGTAATTTTTTTCTCTCATCACGAAAGAATCGATAATTGAAAGCGTCTCACTTTCAAACCGTTTGAAGATCGTGTCTTGCATAATGTGCATTGTTAGTGAAGCGTTAATACAAGACGATTTGCGAATAGACTATTAGAAATTGATGCGACGACGTTTAGCTGCAGGCAAGATTATACAACAACGTTCGCCATGGGCGAGAGCGAGTTGCGGACACTCCTGTGAATGCCGATGGCATAGTTCGAAAGTCAAATGCCATGGTGCCTTTTGCGAATCAATAAGGTGCTTCGCCAGGTAAGCCTGTGTATCGATCTGCTGGTGTAGATATATCTAGGCCGACGAATTTTCCTTTGTTCCACAAAACAAAGTGCTCGATCGCATGTCGTTGAGTGTACGGTGTAATTGGTGACCCCCCTCCCTCCTCTTCTGCGGTTAAAAGAACATCCGGTTTCAGAACACCCTATGTATTGTCGTAATATCGCAGAGGTTAACGTTCGCGATAGTACGACCACACAATGTATCACGATCGGTGAATGAAGTATAATACAAGCAAAGCTATAATATTTTTCAATCATTCGCGATCGTTTACTCGTATCGTAAATCGATAAACGATAAACATGAAAATGTAAATAAATAATAGTTCACCTTATAGATAATTTCATCATCGCAATATATTTCATGAGAATTCATGCTCTTTTCTAAGACTACTCTCTAAATTCTTTGAAGTGCAGGAATCTCACTTTAAAAAGTGGAAATTGATCCACTCTTGAAAAAGAGTGATGCAATTTTCAATATTTAAAAATAATATTTCACTTTTTAGAGCGACAATTCACTGTAAAAATTTTAGAAAGGATCAATAAACGTTACATGAGTTATGAGAATTTCTCTTTTTTAAAATCAAGCTAGTTTGACAATTTTCGCTTTCTGTATTTTAAAATTATTATCGTTACGTCTTCAGTAATTAAATATTATACACTATACAGTAATTAAATATTATACACTCAAACAAAAGCATAGTGACAGCAATTATAAAAGTGACAAAATATATATATAGAATTAATGTGCACAAGTGAATAAATTATTTTATAGTTACTACAATTCTAAAATAATTGAACTGTAGATATTAATTCTACATAAGTATAAAACTCATGTATATAGTTGTCACTTTTGTATTTTTCTCTAAGCGTAATTATTTCGTCTGCGCGATGCAGACAATCTGTGATTTTATAGAATTATTTTCACGATTTATATTTTTCTGTGTTATAAATTTCTTATTCTTTCTTTTTTTATTACATGATCCATTATTTCTTTGTTGACACATTGATATTTTTCTTTTGCTTTGTTTCATAATGATTGTGAGTCATGTTTATTCTCACGATATCTTGGCAAAAATACATAATTATACCAATTTGAACAATGCGCCTATATTAAGAACATTAATTGTATGATTGGCGCGGGATGAAGGAGCTGTTTTTCCGCTGATTGAACGTTTTAATTAATGTTTATCACCCTGAAATAAAACTGGTCCTTGGTCTAAAACAAGTTTTATATATATATATATATGCGGCAATTCCTTTATCACAATTATTTAATCGCTTAAAGGACAATTAGATGCCGTAAATATGCGGGCATATCTTCCGGGTATTACCGATAAGTACGTTCAACTTTTGAAAGCTCTCAGTTTAATAAAAGACTAGAATCAATTGAATAATGTTCTATTACATATCTTATGAAATGATAGAAAAAAAATAAGGAACAATTAAAAAAGATTTTAATTAAATATAAAATTTCAAAAATTCAAGGTTTTTAATATCTTTACTATTAATATCTATCACACACAATTAATATAATAATAATAAATTAGACAGGGAAGAAAAACGAGAAAGAAGAGCGAGCAAGCATATAGTCTTCGAATGAGAGGAATTCAGGTGAGTAGGTAAACCAATCGATCACTGGTGAACGGCAAGACGAACTAATCGACAGTGCCGAACGTTGTTTTAATCCGCATTTATTGTTTGCGTCCCGTACAAGAAAAAATGTAATAAAATTAAAATTTGTTTGTATATATATACCAGATGTCATTGGTATCGCTAATTATTTATAAATTTTCTAGATCAATGAATATACATATATAACATAAACAGTTAATCAACAAGTAAATAACGTTATTTTTAATAAATTTGATGATTCAGACATACATTTAGTCCAGAAATTTATTTATAATCTACGAATGAACTTATCTAAGAACTGAACTACTCAGAAACAAGTTAATTGAGTCATACGGTGCTGACATTCGCGAGATGCATTCATCAAGAATAAGAATCAACCAAGGACAAGCAATAAACTTGCTATTGAAAACTTGCTGATTTATGACGCTGAGTATCGCAGGTTAAAACTTTTATCTTGAATTCCAAATTGATCGTATTTTCTGTCACAGTGTAATGAGGGCTCAAACATTTCATATACGAGAGGCGACGGTTGTACGGCACTGACAATCACGAAAGTGAAAGCCAGGTGTAATACACCGCCAATCGACCTCGAAAACGCGTAACACTCCCGCGAGAGTAGCAAGAGCTGGAGAGATATTGCGCGATGTTGAAAAGGCTAGAAAAATACTCAGGCAAACCACAAGCGATAGGACAGATCCTCGTTCCCCGTCCGTTCTCTTGCGCTTTACATCGAGATGCAAATAACGCGCTAATCTCACGACGACGATGTTTTCTTCATTGTGCTCTTGGATAATCGTCCGTGGACTCGCTCACCCGGATGAGAAGATGACGGGCATTGTGATTCGTAACAGGAGAATTTCCTGAATCGCGTGTTCTCCAGTCTGTCTTGCGTCTTATTTTTGTTTATTATATCCACCGTCTTTATTCACTCAGCATTTATCGATAATTTTATCTTTTATTGAATAATAAATAAAATCATAGCGGTAGTAAATGTATAGGAAGAGAAAGTGTAATAGTGACTGATTTCGGTTGAGGTTAATTTGAATATAATTAGTTTGAAATAATGTAATTATAGATATAATAACAGTTGTATGTAATCTACAAAAGATGAATTATTATGCCCATGTTATTTTTTAAGTTTTGTTGAAATAATTATTCATCGTTGAAAATTTAGACAATAGTATATGCGTTATGTATTGTATGTACATACATATACGTCATTCCTAAATCCACATCATGATTCATCTACTTCGACGTAGTTGTTACAGATACTTAAATATATCTCAGATGACCTACACAGAAGTGTATTTACTATTCTACTAATTTAAGGTCAATTAAAAAAATTTCTATTTTTTTGTCACAAAAGAAAGTTATAAATGATAACAATTAATTGCGTGTAATTTATGGGGAATGTTTTGTTATGTCTGCACTATCTTTTAAATTATTTGAAATATAATATGTTATATATTTCGTTGTGCGTACGTCATTTTCTTTTACATCAATTATAAAATTTTAACAAATAGGGTGCCATTAATATAATGTTGTTTATATAATAAAAGCATCTATCATTTTCTCGACGTAAGCATCACATTCGAAAAATTGCTAATAAAATATATTATTTATAAATTAAAATATTTTTTTCGTTGTTAAAATTATGAAAAATATTTTAATCTTGAAAAATAGGAGACGCTATTCACGCTTTGTCACTTTAATGAATTTTTTTTTCAAAATCGAGGAGATAATATTATCTAGGATGTCTGAAGTAATCGGAGATAGTTCTATATTATATATGTAAGTTCCATATAACATGAAGATCTCATTATCCTTCGACAGACTTTTTTGCGATCGTTCTCGCTGTCCTTGCGTTTAATTGGATCAATGAAGTTTCCAGAGGTGTCGGCCCTAAGATACCTCAAGAAGTCCTTCGCGTTAACTGACAATCACGTCATCTGCGGATTGCATTATCGATCAGATTTCTTCACGATCGCTTCTTATCTTCGCTCATTAACTCGATTAATAGACTCGGCGCTTCCCTTTTCTTTTCCCGCACGTTCTTTGTCGTAGCGGAACGATGTGGTCGACAGCTTTGCCGACCGGATCTCCAACGGTACCGTACGGCTCATACCTCGCGAAAACCGAATGCGGCACCGGCTAGATTCGTGCTGCCACGCCGTCGAATTCACAGTTTGTCGCGCTTAACCGGTGCGCGTGGTTCGACCTGTCGCGTCGTTCTCTCTCGCTAAGCGATCGAAGTGCAGTGCTCACCAAGGATCGATCGGATTGAGTGTAAATAACCGATCTTTATTATTTTATTATTTATTTTTCTGTGCTATGTGAATTTCTTCCGAAGTATTAAAATTACGAGAAATTTTTTAAAAAGTTTAAAATATAAAGTGACTCAAACGCGTGTAAAAGTACACGCAAAAGATTTGCTAAAGACATCCCAAGAGTGTATAAAAATGAATTTAAAAAAGGGTGTTTAAAAGTTTTGTATGGCGTGCTCAAAAATTGTCTAAAGAACAAATTAAAAATATATGGTCCCTTATATAGTACGGGAGGCCAAGCGGGGATTTTGGGATTTACTCGAGCGCGTCAGAATAACATAAAGGGGGAAAGCTTGCACCCTAATAAGTACCCCCACTAAATATTAAACCTCTATATAGAGCCGGGGGTCCAGGGGATTAGTAAATAAAAAAAATCGATCGTTCGAAAACTCGAGCGCGTCAGATTAAGGTATGGTGTGTTAATTACATGTAGAAAAGTGTACATTTCAAAAATCTGACGCGCTCGAGATGCGCTCTGGAAATTTTTTTTTTTTCCCCCTTTTTTGACCCCTTTCTACAGCTAACCCCACCACATAAACCGTCAGATTAATATTTATCCGTTATCAGAAACACATGGGTTGCTTACACTATTAATATCTGACACGCTTCGAGTATTGCATTGTCACTGTTTTTTTTGAAAGCCTGTACACGCTCCCCCACCACTGAAATGGCATACATCATATAACCTTTTTTTCTTTTTAGCATCTAATCTTCACAATCCAATAGGTCCCCACGACACTCGAATAAATCCACATTTAGCCTCTCGGCCTCCCCTACTATTATAATTATGTAACACTATTGCATAAAATTAATAATTGAATTATATACATCAAAACTTATTTATAAATACAAGTTTTAATTTTATTTACATATATAAATTTTATTATAATAATGAAAAATTTTAAGAATATCTCTACTTTTCGTTGTTCCTCTACTGCTATTTATCATTTTTGAACTATTTTAATTATTTACTTTAAAAAATAATCGAAAACTCCTAATTATTTAACTTTCGAATTTCGCAAAATTTGCCATTCTTCTGTTCGGTAATTTCAAATTGTCGTGCCGATCAGCTCTGTTTGCGTCGAGGAATGAAACAAGTTTGATTAGCATGGTATATTTAATTAGTAATAGAATGGTTGCGGGGGCAGTTTTGCATGATGGTCGTCAAAAATCGCGTGAAAGTGCTTGTCGAGTAAAAGTAAAATATAAGACCTAACAAGACCAGCAATTCCTCCGTGGCAACTCGTGTGACTTGACAGAAAATTGTTCCGTTTCGTCGCGAATATTTTGCCCTACAAGGCTATGCCATTAGTACGTCGTCGTACTTTCTATTCGAGGCAGAAATCTTGCTTGTAATTTGAAGCAAAATTTAAGTGCAAAATCGCGTTTCGATACTTGCGATTTTTTTCTATTGCGATAATCGAGAAAACTGCGATTGTCCTTGCATAGCGCGAATGATTGTAATTAAATTAGTATCGACTGATAGAGAGAGAAAGAGAGAGAGAGAAAGAGTAATGTCCAAAGTGTTTAATTTGTTATTAGTAGTACAATAAACGATAAATATTGAATAATTATGTAACAGTTATTAAATATTTGTTTTGTAAAATAAATATTGAGTAATTGTGTAATAGAGAGAGAGAGAGAGAAGAGTTCTTGAATATTTATTTCATAATTTATAATAAATGTTTATTATAAATTATATAATACTTTTCTAATATAAACAGGTCTATATGCAATATGATAGCGATATTATATAAAAGAAACAGGATTTAATCACGCGAGAATTTATTATATTATACGTATTCGTAGATTATCGATTAAATATATTTAGTATTGGATATTAAGAAATACAATATGTTCGATTGAATAAATAGTTGAATGAATTTAGATGGAACGTGGAGATACAATATATAAATACCTGTGTAAATTACATAGCGTTATTGCGTATATCGCTGCGTATGTAGATAACTCTCTGGGTATGAAATAACATACATAGATATATCGGGCATGAGAGCGCGATTGCTGTATCATTTAGCGGGTCGAATGTAAAGCGGTCAAAAAATCGATTGCTTTCTATTTTTCCTTTAACCGTGTTACACTCGCTTGTTAAACATAGAAAATCTGTCGCGGTGATTTCAACCGTGTTCCACTAAAATGAAATTGTTCTCTTCTCGGAAAGAAAGAATCGATTTTCATGGGACACGGATAACATTGTCATGATTAAAATCTACCATTTTATCATGCAAGTATATTTTTTACGAACACTTTACGAATACTTCTTTGGTATGTAAATTTATCATTAGATCAAACATTTTAAAAGAAGATAAATAATTCAAATTGCATTATTTCGATTTGTAATTATTAATTAATGATATTTATAATTACGTAATATTGTAATAATATTTATAATAATATCCACGAAAATTTCGGTTTTAATAATTAAACTTATTCTTATTTTTATTATCAATCACAATTCTCAATTTTAATTTTAGTTATAAATATCAACCTTTATGTTTGATTTCAGTCTTTAATTTTAGCTTCTATCATGTAAACTCTTTAATGATGTTGAATCATAATAATATGGTATACTTGAACAGACATCTCAGTATGTAACGTTACTTTAAATTACAAATGACGTCCTATGAGAAATCCGTTACCGGATCAGCAATGACCTTCGACGATCCTTCAACAATTACTCAATGATGGCAAATACAAATATAACATAGTAGAGAATTCTTAATTCTTCGAGTATAAATAGCATGTTAGTATTGTACTCTTAGATTAATTTTGCATTTCTTTTGTGTAATCAGATTCCAAAAAGAATATGGCTAACAGTTTTCAAAGGATTTATAAAATACAGTATCTGTGTTTTGAGATTATAATATATTATATAAATATATATGTATGTATTATTACATATTCCTAAGATTATACATACGATGTTTCTTTATAATCATTACATGCTTTTAAAATAGGCTTAAATTAATTTTTCTTTAATTAAATGATCGATGCACGAACAGTTTTTTAATTAAAAATTTAAATTTATGTTATAAATTAAAGTTTTGAAATAAGCAAGATAGACTGACTAATTATTTTAAAATGTGATTTATTTAATATTATTTAATATTTACGATACTAATTATTGCAATTAATTATTTCATAATATATATATTTAAATAATTGAAAAATAATCATTGTTTTGTGAGAAAACTTGTCTCTGAATTTATTTAAATTTGTTTTACTTTTGATTTTACTAATTGAAATCTGTTGATAATATTAAAAAATCTAATGAAGGAATATTTGAGAAAGAACGATCAATAAAGATAAACATTTATCTTAAACAATTTTTTTAACAATGCTTTAATGCATAATATGTTTCTTCGAACGATAAATGCATAATATGCTTTTATTATTTACTTCGAAACTTGGAGACCTCCCAATTCTACGTATCGATTTGAATATCGTTGTTTTATATGACCTGTTACGTCATTGAAATCATAAAAAAGTCGAGATATTTGTAAAATACACGCGGATTACCGATTCTCTTGACTAAAAAAGTAAATTATTTCTGCATAAAAATTATATTGTTACGTAAACACTTATATGAATAGTAGAACATAAAATATAAACTTTTTAAGTTATAAATTATAAAAGTTAAATTTTAAATAAATAAAACCAAGAAATATGTATAATAATTTATTCTTTAAAAATATTGAAAAATGAACGTTTCGACTCTACTTTGGAGTCATCTTCAGCATAACTAATCTCTTCTTTTAAAGAATAAATTACTAATTACGTACAAAGAACCACGTCTGACTCTTTATTGCCTGATCTTCGGATACATATTTCTTGGTTTTTAAATATCAAGAGTTCGTAAGGAAGTTACACTTGGCTTTGTTAAATAAATAAATTTTACAAATAGTTAATTCATGATTAATAAATGAAATAAATAAAAATAATTTATTGTGACATAAAAGATAATAAATCTGATAGGCAAATCAGATAATGTATCAACATTTTTATTGCATATTATTAAAATATATTATTAAATATTTAAATTATTAAAATTTGTTAATTAAATTTTAAGCACTTCTTCTGTATAACAAACGATCAAGAAGAGACATTATTCACGCGTTCTCTATTATTGAGTATGCATCATCTATCATTTATTGTCTTCTTGCGGTATCTTTCACGCGTGGGCGTTGATAGAAAGACCTCATTTCCGTGACTTCACAATTAGTCACGCGTGTGTATCAATTAACGAGTCTCAGTAGCTGTGTACCGCGAAGGCCGGCGGCTTTCAAGGAAAAACCTGAATGCAATCGGAATCTATCATGTAGTTGATCCTTATTTAAATCAATCTTATCTACGTCTTTATCAACAAAAATAATGACTAAATATAGATATTAATAATAACAACGTAGCGACGTACAAATTCTTAAAACTCACAAGCCTAATCCTAAATTAATACTAAATTTGTTAAACACGTACTATTCATACCTCATAAACTTAACTTAAAAATATTATTTTACACTTAATGTATATATATCTTAATATGTCAGATTTAATTTCAATTCAAGAAACTTTAAACAAGTTAAAAATATTAATTTCTTAAGAAAAAATAGCGAGGTAAATTGCGTATAATATTCTTATCAGAACAATGACAATGCGGTGCCGGGCGTCGTCAATCGTCGTCACAATCGCGCTTCTGATTGTCCTGCTGGATGGTGCAATTGGCAAGCTGCGGGTCGTCTACCGATGGAAGCAAATCGATTATGAATGGCCGAGCAATGACATTAAGAGGCTCTTCCCAGATTACAAGCAGGAGGACAATTTGCCCTTGGGTTTAGAGGTGGCTGGTGATCGGCTATTTATCACAGTGCCGAGATGGAGACAAGGGGTTGCTGCAAGTCTCAATTATATTCGACTTAACGGTAATTATCTTGTCCTCAAAATTACAATTACTTGGAATAATACTCGAGAAGTGGCATAATTACTCGTCTAACGTGCAGTTTACAGTTTCACAACGTAGACAAATATTCGAGGGATATTCATCAGCAATTTCAATTATCTATTTTAATTATTTATATTATATTTATATTAATAATATTATTATTTTCGTATACAAAAACAGATTTAAATACTCCTTGTTACTTTCTAATGTTTATTCAAATTTACTGTACGATCATATCGTTTCGATCAATATGATTAAAAGACTTTAAAGAATAAAGAACAAAAAAAATGTTCACAGAAAAACATTTCAATCATAGAATACCGCAGAGAAAAGCTTTTTTCTGGTAACAAATAAAATCTTACTAAAAAATGAATTTTATTTTGAGTATCAATAGATCAGTATAGAGTTAAATTATTTTCTCATACTACAATTGCTGATTAATTTTCAAAAATAATCTTGCGAGAATTTCAAAAAAGACCGTTTCAATGGAGTAGAAAGACAAACAGAACTTTAGCAATGAATCTCTCTTTTCCTCTGGGGTTGACGTCGTCGGTATCAGAGCTCGTTGGCTTTCAGACACCCGCGAATCACCACCTCTAATTCCGTATCCTTCTTGGGAGGCTCATCAGTACGGTGCTGCCGGCGTGCCAGAGATCGTTTCAACGTTTCGTGTGCGCGCCGATCGTTGCAACAGACTTTGGGTCCTGGATACAGGACTGACAGACATCCTGGGTAGCCCTGAGCAACAGGCGCCGCCGGCGTTGATTGTCTACGACCTGATGACTAATCGCATGCTGCGCAAATACGTGATACCGTCCGAGCAAAGGACCACTGATTCCCTGTTCGCCAACATCGCTGTCGAGGATTACTCATGTGAGGACTCGTATGGTTACCTGGGCGACCTCGGCGGTCCAGGTCTTGTTGTCTACTCCTGGAACCTCCGCAAGTCTTGGCTTGTCAAGCACCATTCTTTCCATCCAGATCCGATGGTAATTCGTTGTAATTTAGAAATACATGCGTTCATCTTTTGATTACATTTCTTTTCGATCTGTTTATAAGACCAATTTACACGAAGTTGTTAATGATTGTGCGTATGTATACATATGTATATCGTAACATATGGTTTGATGATAAGTATAGTAAAAGGGGTAACTCTTTAATAATGAATATAATAAAAATTATACTGTAAAATAAGGTAACTTTGATAATAACTGTCGAGAACGTTGACCTAATGTTTATAACACACATGTCTAAAATGTTTAAGACGTTTTCAAGACATTTTATACCCTCAAATCGTCTTATATAATTTAACATGCTGTTTGGTCATTATTAAAATTGAGATCAGAGTTTAATGCGCCAAGGTTACACCATTTTATGTAACCAGTAATTTTTAATTACGCTAATAGCAATAAATTTATTAGTTTTACATATATTATAATTGATTAATTAAGAAGTTCGCTTTGATATAGAATAAGGGAAAATTTTTAATACATTGCAACGAATGCTAGGCCATTCGAGCGAAATTTTACTCATGCTGTCTTTCTCAGGGCGGAGAATTCAAAGTGTCAGGAATATCATTTCAATGGAATGACGGCCTGTTCGGGATGGCTCTCGCGCCGACTGGTGACGGCTACAGCACCATGTACTACCATCCACTCTCTAGCGGCATGGAATTTTCCGTTAGTACAAGGTTGTTACGCGATGCTCAGCGTGCCAGTGTTGCGGGTACGTTAAAAAAAAATATCATGTGCTTATGATGAAAGAGGTATAATAAAGGACTAATCATTCGATTGCAAACAAGTCCTTACTTTATTTCACATGCAACGACATTTTGCACGGTATTTACATAAAGAACTTTGAAAATTGTCCATTGTGTTTACATGTGAAAATGTTGCAAAAACAACCAACAATCCAATGAAATTTAATTAATTCTGGGGAATATTTAAATCAACATTATTCTCTTTAAAGAGAGCCGAAAAGTAACTAAGAAAGTTATTAATCAGGAGACGCGGTAGCGTCTCCGGCCATGTTCAAAAAAACTGTGAACGCTACAAGTCTCTTATTACCTATTATTTGAGAATTATTTTGATTTTTAAGCGCAAAGAGTAAGTCAATTTAAAGAACTTCAAGAAATCTGTCGCTTAAAAAAAAAAAATCGTATAATTCAGAATTTTACACGTCTTTTAAAGAACAAATGTGTTTCGACATTTTACGTGTTTGTAGAAGCGTCAAGATTATTTCATGTATTTGTCCTAGAAACGTCTCATGAATTCCAAACGCTGGGCTCGCGCGGACCTAACGGTCAGAGTAGCGTCAGCTTCCTGGATCCGAAGACCGGAATTCTTTTTTACGCGCTGACGAATCTAAACGCTATCGCTTGTTGGAAACCGCAAAATAAATTTACCGTACAGCAACAAGGCTACGTTTATCAGGATAATGTTACCATGGTTTTCCCCAATGATCTTAAGGTAATTACAAATCTAATTCTCATTACTTAATCACCAACAATAATTTATTAGTATTGCAATAATTAAAATTACTTTTATATACCACAAACTTTAACAAATTCTGTCATCATCACATATCATGAATTGCTAAATCAACCACAGTAAGAGAATTCTTGATTAACATGAAATAGTTTCGATAGTTAAAGGAAACAGAAAAGTATAATCTATAATTATGGAAATATATAATTGTCCATTTTATTTTTAAAAAACGCACGTGTGCGATTAGATTTCAACAATAATTCGGCAAGTGTCTACTATAACTCTCATGCTCCTTCGCGTTCTTTATTTGTGAAATTACGAATAAATTGCCATTGAAGTCTGATTTTTTCTCTACTTCTCTATTTTATTAAAGGAAAGAAGAAGGTTAGATTGAATATTATTTTATTTTATTGAACTAATTCAATAAATATTTTTGTAACATAATTACTTTTGCAAATTTATTAGCCATAGAATGTCAATACATAACGAACGCGTAATTTACGAAAAAACCGAAGAGTGAAAAAAGATTGCGTTTATGCAATAGGAGGGTAATATGGAATATTAAACGAACTATAGCGTATGCAGTATAATTTTTTACGTTGAATACATATGGTTATTAAATTAAATTTATTTTAATTATTTAAAAGCCACATTCAAGGCCTCCAAGTTAAATTGTAAAGTAACAAAATTAATATTAATATATTTTTCAAAATTACATAATGACAGGAATGAGTATACGTCTATAAAACTGTCTGTTACCTGCTGAGAACTGAAATACACAGCTATTACAACGTAATAAGTATTAACGAAGTGGTCATGTTATAATCTAAGCAGATTATAAAAAAGTAATTTTAAAAATCACTCCTAAAAACGCACCATAAAGTACAATAGCTGCCAAAAACTTCCGGTCAACATAATTTTATAATAACTTTTGTCTGCTTTCTGCAGCTTATATTATAACATAAAATTCTTGTTATAATTATAATATTTTAAATACTAGAATATATATTATCTACAATACTTATGTACTAGATTTTTATTTGTAAAATTTTTTAATCTAAAGAATATATATAATACAATTATTCATTGGACGGAAACTTTTGACTATCATTGGATACCTACAAGCATCGTGGCATTTCATAACCCTCCTTCTCACCTATTTCCATAAACGCCTATTTTTCCTTTTTTAATTTTATATTTTTATTACCTATTATTATGTTGTGTATATTATTATTGTCACATCATAATCTTTTTACTTCGATAGATCGATCGAAACGGCAACTTGTGGATTCTCTCTGACAGACTGCCCATCTTCATGTACTCGCAATTGGACCTACATGATTATAACTTTAGGATACTTATGGGGTCAACCGAGCAACTCATCATGGGCACGGTTTGCGATTCGACATCGCCTTTCACCACAACGACGATATACGATCACAGAGATCACATGGATCACATGGATCACATCAATAATCGCATTGATCACAAAGATCACACGATGAGTTTGACGCCCAGAATCGGGAACTCGGCCGGTTTCATAAAGATAGAGATCGCGACTATGCTGTTGCTAACATGCCTCAGTAAAGCTCTCATTTGAGGAGCTGCTATTGAAAAATTTGGATTGAAAAATAAAAATAGTAGAATTAAAGATAAGATACAAGTGTAAAATTAAAAACAAATGTAGATAGAAATAGAAAGGGAGAGTGGATAAGGCAGAAGAAAAAAATATGGAAAATTCAATTTTTTATATTAACATTATTTCGTTAATAAAATGATTTCTGTAATTTAGAATAATCTTCAATGAAGTTAAGTATTGATGGAAAGTTTTATTGATAATATAGAATTATCTTTTGTTATAAAAATATGAAAAAAGGTAAATATTTATTTAACCGTTATAAAATTAGAGCTAATAATAATCCTATTGTTGAAAACACTTATTTATTATCCCATCTAATTACTTCACTCGAACCCATCTTGTAAAAGTCTAAGATATATATAGCGTATTAGTAATCATTGTAATTATAATCCTGTAATTATAATATTTTTACTTTATTATTAGAAATGTATATGTATTTTTAAAAAAGTTTGGTTTGCAGTAAAAAGAAAAATACACTGACAAAGATTGGTACAAACTATTTAGATAAATCTTTAATGAATAACCAACCGATAATATAATATAATTGGATTACACGTCTCCATATGCACAAAAGCTAATTAGATATTGATTTCCTCATTTGTTTATCTCTCGAGAAAACATTTCTCTTTTTCGTTGAGTATGTTCGTTATTATCTACTCAAGTTGAAATTGCCATTATATTTAAGTGTCAAATGTAATAGAATTTATATGAAAAAAAAGAAGTATTTTCAAATAAAAGCGATGTTTTTATTATTTTCTTATTTTCAACAAAATTATAACATTATTTAGACAGCAATTTAAAGAATAATCAACCGATAATATAATTATTCGATTGCACAACCCCATATGCACAAAAACTAATTAGATGTTGATTAGACATTATTATGGTACATTTTATTCTTTCTATCATCGAATTCCTTTTTATTATACTGATTGTAAAAATCGTAATATCTTTTGTATACTTTATCACATGATTTACATTACTCTATATACCATATTATTATGTTTATTTCATTCTAATGTTTACAAGACGTCTCCACAGTTCATCATGTGCATCTTGGATGCTTGTGCGATGACGACAAAAACTCATATTGCACAACTTGGAAACAACTTTCTGACGAATGCCAGAAACGCGTTAAAATTTTACGAAAAAGAACGACAACAAAAATAAATCCCTGCTGCGTAATAACATCTGCGAGAGACTTGAGAATTTTTTCCATGGAAGATCGGCCGATGACGTGCCGAGCATGATGATCGAGATAAGTAGTGCAAAGTCATCGCACACATATTTACGCACCTGGCGCATGCAACGTCATGTCGACCTGCTGCACCTGTATATGCAGTACTTCATACTTGAATATAAATCTTGCAAGAGCGAATCAAGATGTGCATCATCTTCCGTAGTTCATTGTTAGTTGGCAGTCTCACAATTTCAACAATAGAAAACAATTTCTTAGGAAGAATCGTATACACTTTTGCAGATGATACTGTGTTTTAGTGCAAATAATAATTTGATTAAAAATTAAATATTATTCGATTACACAAAATTATTTATTTCACATCGTGAATTTATATTACATTATTAAATTATATCATAATATACTTAACAAAAAATAGGAAACACTTTCGAACATGCTCAAAATTTCTCAATATTCAGAACATCGAAACTCGCTGAAAAATCACAGACAAGAAATAGAAAATACATTTTAAAGGTTGAAAAATCTCTACTTTCGAAACACGTAATTGAAATTTTAATTTAATTGATCCTTTACGGATTTATACGGATTAAATGGATAGAATGGTCTTTTAAATCTGAAAATTTTGTACAAACTTTACAAAGGTCTAGGCGTGATATAAAAATCACACAAAAGTACAGTTCAGAGTAGTCGAAAAAATGAATCTTTACATTTAATTTGCCTTTTTATTAAATGTTGTATGATTTTTTTACCGAATTATTGAACGTTGAGACAAAAATGATTATTTTTTGTGAAAAATTTTATAAAAATATCATATTCCTACATTTCAATATCATTTTTCAGGGTTACTTCATAATTGGATATGATGATATTAAAAAAATGTTAATGAAAATTGTAAACAAATGAAAAATAATTTATTTATATAAAAATGATAAATTAAAAATAACTCATCATAAAATCGATCTCTTGCGTTTTTTTGTGCGATTAATGATTTCAACGACGTAATAATTTGAATATTTAAATAAGCGACGTTTTTTATAAATTTCTGTAACTTATAAGTGTAAATAACTTCACAAAAAAAATCTCAAACTTTTTTGCAAAACACGTGTTTCATATTTTTATATAGAATATGTTAGCAAATTAAAAAAAATTATGATGCTTCCAAGGTGCTTGATTTAACGTGGAATGTCTCATATAAGTTTTCAGAAAATTATATAAAAGTTTAATGTATTAATAATCAAATGTAGTCATATCTAAAAATGCTTTATTAAAGAATTATGAAGAATAAAGAAGTCAATAACAAAATATGTCAGCTGTTATTCAATTTAATACATCCTATTTCTAAAATATCTTTATTTATTAAATGTTACAAAATTGTGTAATATTAGTGAATAGAGATCAAAAAGAAAGAAAGAGAGAGAGAGAGAAATTATGTAATCTATGAGAATAATTTCGCTATTAAATGACTGACAATTAAATAAAATTTAAATCGATAAGAATAAATGAAGAATGACAGAAATTATCGTATTATTGATTAAATCAGATCTTAATCGGTGCTTAATAATATTCATATGTAAATTTACAAAATATGTTTTTTGGTTCTATAAACTGAACGCTGATTCTACTTGTCAGACTTTCAATGCAATCATAAACCGAAGCTAGAAATAACATTACAAATTACATTGATCATCAATATAATAATGATGCTAATAATAATCAAATCAGTACGTAGATTTATTATATAACTAAAAAATATATTTGCAAATTTGCGTATAATCATTATCAAGATCCGAAAATAGGTTTATTTCTTTTATGTTTGCCGAGCGATTAAATATAATTGGCTAGATCTATAAGTAACAACCAATCTGTTCATTTGCTTGACGAACAGACTAGCCGCTTTGTCGATTTAAACGCACTCATTAATATGTGACCACGAGAACGTTTATTCAAGGTTCACAATTTTCGATACGTCATTTATAAGGCGACTTACCGTTTGTACTTCGATCGTTGGAATTATAAAAGTGAGCAGTCCTTGGTTTTGACCAATCTGGACTGACTAGCTTATCAGCGACTACTCTGTACACAACCATTAAAATTGCAGTTTGTCGGATGAGGTCGGCCACACATGTTCAAGCGAATTTATCAAGTATGCTTGCGCAAGCTACTTGTGCAAAATTATTGAAATGTGTTATAGATAAAACAGTACTGCTTATCGTAAGGCAGCATACACGTTCACACAATTTGCGTAAACATACTTGACAAATTTATTATATTTGAACGTGTGAAACATGCCTGAGGCAACTGACATTGTCGCATCTCTAAGAGTCGCCGCTCTTTTAGCTCGACTTCAGAATTTTCGTCGGTACAGTTTCATCAATTTTACAAAATTTTTTGTAGTGTTTACAGTGTTGACACATCGTTAAAATCTACTGCTAAAATCTATCTATTGCTAAAATCAACTGCGTAGATGCACCAAGATTTTTCCATCGTACTTGTTTATGTACATTACGTAAGACTTTTTATTTAATAAGTATATATAAAAGTAATTATCTGGAGCAAGTGGGGGATGTCACGTTATCTTGTATAGTTTACGCTGCATTCAGAAATTGAAGGCATCGAAATTACTTCTTTATAGCCTGCTCAGACGTTAATATGGTTACTGGACATTAGTGTTTATAATACTTTGTAGTAAAAGCTGCATTTCAATTTTGCAGGTAGCCGATACAGGTGTGTACTCTTTATGTAATTTTGAAAGTATGTTTGGTTATTAATTTTGTAACTTCGTTTTGAAACCTTTTGGATGTGATTTTTAAATAATATGATTGAATTAAATTTGATAACAAATGTGTGCACGTATTATCTGATGTGTAAAATTATACTACATATACATTCTGTATTTCCTCTTTACTTATTTTATATAATTGCAACTTTTTTCACTTTTTAATTTTTTTTACGTTCATTCTGTATATCCGAAGAACTTTTACCTATAGCATAATTAATATCGCTGTATAATTAATAAACTTGTGTCAAAAATAATTGTATCACACATATAAATATCTTTTCTAATAAGAAAATATTTATGAAATTATATAAAGTCTTTTCTGACATAGAATTTGTGATCTGCAATTTTGTGGATATATTTACAAAAATGGATGTAGAAATTTTATTTTTGTATTTTTACGTAAAAATGAAAATAAAAACAACAATCTCCAATAACCTTAACCTTGATAAATGTTATATTTATCACTGGCGCAACATAAACATAACCTTAGAGAATTTTTCTAGATAGAATCTAATACTTTTTTATATATATAAGATGGTATTTATAGTACGTTTTTACTCAAAGACCATCTTGATTAATGTCTTAAGATGCAATGCATCAATATGACTCTTTGATTGGTTCATAATATCATAAAACTGTACTTAAGACAATCTTAAACATAAGAATCAGCTATAAATATTGCCCTTTATAACTTTTTTGTTATTGAACACTCACAAAAAAAGTACCATTAATAATGAAATGACATTTCATTTAAAGAGCTCATTTAAAAAAAGATGCAATTCATTTCATTGCGTTCTTTTGACATACATTAACGTATTTATACATTATTAAACACGCATTTAATTAACTCTGTGTAGATAAGTTCTTTGCTACCAAGATATCTCACGAATAATATAATTGTATTATAATGATGATTCTCTGAGAAATTATCTACATCTAAGAGAGAGTGATTGTTCTTTTTAATAATTAGTATCCCTTCCACAGTATATGCTTCGCAATATTCTCGTCTTGATCACAGCTTGCCATTTATAATCAGAAAGACCGCGCAAACTGGTAAAAAGAATCACATCGAGAACGAGGTTTATATACCAAAAATATGGATAAGTTAAAAGAAAATATCGTCGATACGTTATATTGTGAGTAAAAACACAGTGATAAGATAATGGTGGTGGGATGGGACGCTTCCGTGCTTATTTAAAAATTCAAGCAAATGAACGAGAAGATAAAAGCTCTGAGTGTTTGTGTTATTAATCGTATGTGACAATATATGTATATCAATATGACGATAATCGCAACAGTGAAATAATCACGCTATCATATTTTATAAAAGAACAATTAAAACAATTATTTTGTATAATATTTAAAAATATTATAATATTAAATATTATACACACACAACTTTATCAGGTAGCATTAAAAATATGTTATTATAAATAGTTATAATTATTTAACACTTTTAGTATCTATTAAATAGTAATTAATCTTTTTAAAATAACTGTTTAAATAATGTGTAAGATACGATTGTATTATTCGTAACGTTAATTGTTGAGTACAATAGAAGCATATTTAAAGACACGTTCCTACACGGACAAACAAAAATATTCTATTTGCATATTTAAAGGCACGAATTTCATGTAAAAAGATATCGCGGTCAAAGTTCTTCAGCTTGATCGAATAATAATATAACGCAGATATGTTATTATCCGTAATACATCCTAGATAGTACACAATATTTATAAAACATTTTGTAAATAATTTTGTGATATACACATATAAATAGCACAAATTATAAATATTTATTAAAAATAGTATAAAATACAGGACTCTCAATACAACAAATAAAACAAATAATGTAAAGGCAAATGAGAGTCAAACGAGAGATATCATCTCAATATTAATATATTCAAAACTCGCTACATTAAGTATAAGAACATAAACTAAATAATCGTGAACTTAATCGAATTTAAATATTAACTAAATCGGTTAGAGATTTCACAGATATTTACGAGGACCTGCCTAAAAAGATAGTAAGTGTAGAAAACTTTAAATATGTGCGATTACTATTATTTTCAATGAAATATATCGGTGAGTAAAACAAAAGAGCGAATGCTCACAAAAAATAAGTAATTTATTAATCATCAATGAAATCTCTGTTATAGCTACTAATTTAATCAATAAGATTTTTATTAATTTATTTTATCAAAGCAATATAAAAGAATTTGTTTTTAAAAGTGATGAGATTAAGAAAGTCTGTAGGAAAAAAAATTAATGTTTAATAAAAATTAATTGAAATTGAATTTAAACATTTTAAAAATAATACGAAATATTTAAATATTATTAAAAATATTTTTTAATTATAACAAGAAGTTTGTAAATAATTTATGTAGATATTAACTGATGAAGAATCCCATTTATCCAAATATATTGGACAAAACAATTCCAATAACCAAATAATTAGGATAATAAAAGCTTATTAGCTTTTCTCTCTGTAATCAATACTTATCAGTTCCAATAATAGGAGCTGACGTTCAGAAAACTAAAGCATGTCACGCTCTTATTAATGTGCCGTATTTCGAATAGTAAGAACTTGACTACAGTTCGTATATTTCGAACTGAACTTGAGCTTGTATGTGTAAAGTAAATGAAGTCCAGATAAACGAAATTTATTTAACCGTATTACTTCTGCATGTGCAAAAATTATCGCCCTAAATACACCGTTTACCATACTTAAACTTTTATTTTTTATTTATGTAGGCGAAATCAGAAAAATCTTTAATATGCCGAAAAGTAGTACAATACCTGGTATGGTTTACCTGCCGGCGAGAGAAAACCCTTCAAAAACCGCGATGGATTTTCTCAATGCTAGGAAAAAAGTTGACGGGGCAGAAGGATTGTGGAGAATTGAAAACAAACTTTATGATTTGGAAACCTTCGTGAAATCACATCCAGGTGGATCTGAATGGCTACGGCTCACGAAAGGAACCGATATCACTGAGTTGTTCGAGGTATTAAATTAAAACCAGAATTATGCATCTTGGACAAAATTATCATAATAAGTTAATTTTTTATTTGAAGTTATCAATTACCGTATTTTTAATTAATCATTATTAAAATAATAATTAATATAAGGCTCCATAAATATAAAATAAATAAATAATAAAAGAGCACAGAGCCAACAATGTAAACGAAATAATAAACATTTAATTTCAAATAACATAACGTTTCGACTTCGATCGAGTCAATTTCAATGTTACAATTAAAATTAGATTAAAACAAAAGTAATACAAAAATCATTATCCTAGAAAAGCGGTGAATCTAATCTTGTTTGTCGTACATGTAGTCAATAGAATAAAAGTCAGATATCAAGTTGTACAAAGGTATTCTTGTTATACATGTTTTTTAATAAGTTCACAGAAAAGTGAGATGCAGCAAGAAACAGAATTTTTTATTATTATAAATTTAACCCACAGAACAGTGAGAAATGCAGTCTTAGTTTAATTGTCGACCATATTTTTTGGTCGACAATTAAAAAAAAAGAAGAGCGAATTTGCAAATGTATTGAACTAGTCTTCACCGAGTCAGATAACATTTATTATATTATTATTATTATAACACTTTTATTACTATTTTTTATGTAATTATTTTTGAATAATTTAATTTATTTAAACGAGGTGGCCGGTAAATTTTGACAAAACGCTCGTGTGTAAACTGTAGATAGAACGAACTAAACTGAGTAGAAATGTTTTTATTTTTATGATAGAGATCATTTTGCAATATATGTATAATTAGTTATAAGCAGAATGTCTAAAATTGACATATAAAGCAACTTTAAGAAGAAAAAAGTCTGAAAGTTGTCTTATGTGTCGACTTCAGTTACTTGTTTGATAATCGTTAGAAATTAATATACTATTGCGAAAATTGCAAAATAATAGAAAAATTTTCGATTCAATTTAGTTCGTTCTATTTGCATACGAGCACTTTGTCGAAACTTATATCGTACCATATATGAATTCACGGCTATATTTTCTATTCGCTCTATTTCTTTCGTTTCGACAATTTACGATTCTTGAAATATTCGAGATCCACCGCTACGATTTCTGTGTTAGGAATTTTCAATTTTAACATTGATTTCGTCACGTAGGCCCACCACATCACCGACAAGGCTGAACGGCTCCTGCCAAAATTTTACGTTCGAGAAGCCGCAACACCACGGTCAGTGCCCTTGACTTTTTTGCCGGACGGCTTCTATCGTACATTCAAGAGACGAGCAGTCGAAGCTTTGAAGAATGTCGATTTTCATAAACCGTCAACAACGACGAATCTCATCATCGATTCCTTAGCGACTACGACTTTCGTGCTGAGTCTCGTAGCCGCCCTCGTTCACTCTTATGCTATTCTGATTCTTGCCAGTGAGCATTCACGAAATCTATTTGACATGGATTATAATTAAAATATAAATAAATAGCTAAAGAACTAAAGCTACAAATAATTAAGATACATTAATTGCATTAAAGATATTTGTTAATAAGGATAGCAACAATCGTAATGCCTAAGAAATGATAAAAGTAACGATGAGTTTTATATGAATATATTCTCATTAATTAGTTTTATATTAATTATAATTATTAAACGTGAACATTCAATAATTGATTAATTTATTTAACAACAATTTTAGGCCTTTTTTTAACATGGACGACCGTTGCAGCACACAATTATTTCCACATGAGAGACAATTTTCGTATGTACTACTTCGATCTGAGTATGCTATCTTCGAAAAATTGGCGCATCACGCACGCAATGAGTCACCACATGTACCCCAACACCATATGGGATTACGAGATGTACGTGGTCGAGCCGTTTCTACAATGGTACCCTCGAAAGGATAAATCCTACTTAACGGGAATGATAAGCAAGATTATCAGTCCCTTTGTCTGGATGTTATTGTTCGTTGTGGAAGGCATAAAACGGTAACAGAATCATTCCACATTCTTTTGTTACAATTAATAGAAAGGTTTTTCGCTTGTATCTTCACTTTGGATTCTTGACTTTAATTAAACATCTGCTGTTTCTAATTGCGATATCGCGTTTGTCAACATTGAAAAATTTACTAAATAAATTTCCACTTCTGTCTCTCGCGCTAAAAGATTTAATTATTTTTAGATACTATTTAGTGTACACGGAGTATGGGGTTTTCGAATTTCGTGATTTCGTGCCATTCTTACTGCCTATATCGATGAGTTTGGTAGCGCCCAAGATTTTTATTGCTTTCAAGCTGTGGTTCATGATGTTGCTGATAAGTAGCACCATGTTTGGTTTAATCGGCTTCAACGCGGCCCATCATCATCCTGATATCTTTCACGATGGCGATGTCTACAGGTAACATATCACACACACATATAACACACACATTCGCGTTTCATTCTTAAATCTAAAATCATTGAATTAATCAAATCTATTTATCTTTTGATTCGATTAGATCTAATTTGTTTTCCCCTATTAAAAAATAATTTAAGTAAAATAATTTAGATTTATTTAATTAAAAAAAAAAAAAGAATATTGATTTAATTATAAATTTATATCCATCGTTAATTCAACCTTGATTTAATTTTCATTCAACTTTGATTTCATCTTTAATATTCCAATTTTGATTTTTAATCTGCCTAGCATTTATCTCAATTTGTTCGTGAAGGAAATTTTTCATAACTTCTCTAATTATTACAATATTTCCTAGAAATGACTTGGACTGGGGATTACTCGAGATAGACGCCGTACGTGATCGTAAAGTAATCGACGACTCGATCTTCCTAGTTATGACGAACTTCGGCTCGCACACATTGCACCATCTGCTACCCATCGTGGACCATCACTATTTACCATTATGCGTGCCTGCTTTCCTGAAGACGTGCGAGGAATTCAACGTCAGCTCGGAGAAGTGGACGCAATGGGACCTTCTGAAAGGACAATTCAATCAACTCACGCGCACTGACGTGAAGAAGAATTACAGAGAGTGCTCATCTTCAACGAAATAGCGTGCTCAATCGCGGATGTTGAAATTATTATGTGCATTACGTATAATTTTTTACATATCAATTTGCAAGCATGAACTTCGGGTGAATATGTTCCATACAACGCATTTTATACAAGATACATCCTAAGATCCTTAAGACAATCAGAGAATATACGACATCTTTTGGACGTCTTTAGGACGTTCCTTAGAGGTATGTGCTGTATAGGATGTAAATGAAATAATTAAAGTGGTTAAATTATGCTAGATAAGTTTTTTATGAGTTGAAATGAAAATCGAATTTAGATATTGTATGTATATAAAGTAGAAAAGTAAACTGATAATGATAATTCTATTTTATTTCGAGAAACAAAATATTTGCAGGAATAGTATCACCACGTAAAGATCTATTAAAGCCAAAAATTATTTTTTACGATTATTTTCTACGATTGTATTATATTATACTATACAATAAAAATTAAACTGATAATTAAACAACTAAAAGTTCTTTTTCTTGTTTATTGCGAAGATCAATACGTGATGGCAACAAACTCATAAAGTTGGAGCACCGAGCAAAGGTTGAAGAATAGACCTTTACATAACGCATAAAATGCATAAAGTATAAAAGAATCAACCAATCAGAACCTTTTCTTTCCATGAAATGGGAGGACTCTGATTGATTCTCTTATAAGCTTTCTACAATAAGCTATTACCTAAGTTTTAAGTCTTAAATCGTAATGTGAGAAGGCTAATCGATTATAATTGGTCAATTTCTTAAGACTTAAAGTTTAGCTAATGACTCATTATAGAAAGCGCATTATGCTTTGTGCATGTATTTGCAAAGATTTGTGCTTCGACTTTTAGCCTAGCATCTTTGATTTTACAAGCAGGTGATCGACAAGCGGGCCAACTATAGTTCTTATCTTTATTTATTGCTTATTTACTTTAATAAATACATACTTCGTCTCTCTTTATAAATTACAATTAAGTTTATAGGATACGATATCATTCGGATGACACGTGTAATGGTACGCGCTGTTGATCAAATCGTTTATCGCGACTCGCTTTCGTTTTGCTTCCCGCGCGAATATAATATCCTCCTTTTCTTCGATCTCGTTTTTAATTTGAATTTGACTTTTGCTCGCTATGTATTTGTCGCAATTCGCGAGAGCGTAAACGTGTATTCATAAACATGTATTCGTCGCTTTGTTTTCCCCCTTTCGTTTTCAGTGTGTATGTGTAAATATTAATATATCTGTGTCGCGCTGGCTCTCGCCCTCTCATCGTCCGCTCGCGTGTCCTCTCGCTCGATCTCTCTCGCTCATCCACTCTCTCTCTCCCAATCTCTCCCTCTCTTTCTCTCCCTCCCTTTCTCTCCCTCGACTGTCAGCTCGAATGATGAAGCAACGCATCCTCGCCTCTCTTCACTCTCACCCTCAATCCTCTCCTTCTCGAGCGAGCGCTAATTTTTCCCCTTTTTCTCCTCTTGGCCGATTAAACGAAAACAATTATTATCGAGAAAAATGATGAGAATTCAATGATCCGGACGTGATGATACTGATTAATCGATCGCTCGATTGCGAGATGACGATGCCGTTGAAAGCTCCAAGCGAGCTCTCGGATTCGTTACATATACATATATTCTTCGTATCTTCGTTCGACGATGAATTCGATGAGGATAATGTTCTTCTTCCTCTTCTTCTTCTTATTCTCCGGATGTATCTTTCTGTTGAATTTTTGATTCTTTTTTTTGGTTGGTTTTACTAATTATTTACGCGAAGGAGCTTTACAGTTCACCATCGGGCTGCATGTCGAAGCCGGGAAAACGGCGAGGTAATAGGGGACCATCAAATTCGGGTTTTAACATAGGTCGGTGTGGCTGAAAGAAAAAAGGTATATAACGTGAATCTCTTGCGAGTTACAAATATAAATATAAAGAGATATCCACGTGAATTTAATAATAGATAACAGAATCTTGTACGGATTTTAAGAAGGAATAAAGAGGTAGGGGCGAGCGACACGTTCTCTGTGTCGTTCCTGTTTGTGATCTAATGTGCTTTGTTTTTCTAACCCCCTGCACTCGAAATGCGCGAGTGGGGTCGCAATGACGCATGTCGAGGGTCGTGACACCTCTATTTTGCCGCGTGATAAATGCAACGTATGCATTCTTTTTAAAACGGAACATTTATCTCAAACACTCGTAACTCTGGTGAAAGAGTATTAGTTACAATTTCTTCTTTCTAAAAAATCGAAATTAAGTCGCAGTTCCTGTTGATAGCGAACTGTCAGTGTGTTGTTAAATACAATTTCAAGATCAACAATGACGATGTATATTAACGAGGACACTAGAGGAATCTACTCGCATTAAAGAAAATCAAATAAACGAAAGTCTGGTTCGAATCAGAGCGAGAGTAAGAATAAAAAAAGCTTGAAAAAATCACGAAAATCTGAGAAAATTCACACATATATCAGCATCTTTTGTATAAATTTCGATAAAATAGGGAAATGTTATAAAATTGTTTACGTCTCTAACTGCTCTAATTTCTAATCTTGAAAAAGTCCATTTATAAAATGAAATATCTACTTTTGCTGTATATTGAATTAGTGAGAAATATTAAAAATGTGCCAAATATTATGTTCTAAATATTAAAATTAATATCGTTGCATACCTAAAAAACTGAAATTTTAAATTTATCCATATATGTATATCTAAAAAATTATCGTGATAAATTTATCTCTTAAATTGTCTATCTAACTTTCCGAATGACTATATTAATTCAATGTCTGTACTGTACATTTTATGTGAAGGACATCCTATTCTTAGGACATACAATAATCGTTTAGAACATAAAATGTTTTCTGAAACGTCTTTAAGAGAACTATGCTATACGTATCAATATTCAATAAACAAATAAATAAATAATCTCATTTATTTCTTAAATATTCGTTGATTTCGTTAGCTACTTTTTCACACACAGCCGTTGTTCCATCTCTAATTGCTCTAATTTCTACCGACTCGCAAGTGAATATTGTACAGAGAAAAGGACTGGGTGTGCGAGTTACACAAAGTTAATGACGAAGAGCAAGCTCGGGCCCATCCGAGAGGATGTTATCGGACACACAGGTGCAAACGAGACAATGATGGATGCAAGAGGGAGTCTCTACCGCGCGTGTTTCTCTCGCGTTTCGTAAACTCCTGCTTGTAACAATCTAATCACTCTCTCCCTCTCTTTCTCTCTCTTTCTCTTTCGCTCTCTAGCTATTCAGCCAACTATTTTCTTCTCTTTCTAAGTAATCGTCACACACCCCACGCGCTTACGACACCCCACGTGCACGGACTTACATGGACCAAGCGCGGTGTGTGTGCGTCTACTCCATCATGGAGGGCACCGCCTTACGTTTCTGTTGCGGCTACACACAGGAAGACACAGATCGCTAATTAGATACCATCACCGTCGATCTGTTTCCTAACATCACTTCCCTTTAATCCCAACCTCGTAATTGAGCTTTAAGATTTGCAATCACCGAACCTATCTTTCGTCCGCGCCATCAATATTGATATTAACGTAAGTGCAATCAACTTTCAATAATCTTCTCGATGAACAATTACTTTACTTTTTCTTTAATTGTATAATCTAGCGGATATCTGTATTCTTGATCCGACAAAACGTAATATATATTTTGAATTTGCAATATTAAAATATAAGTCACTAAATTAAAATTCTTCTCGATCAAAGCTTAAAAATGTGAATGAAATAAAATCAATAAAATAAGATTTAATTTAAAAATCAGTTTACTTAAAATTAACTAACGGCTATCTTTTGAAAAAAAAATTAAATAAATATATTTATTATTTTCTTATCAAGATAAAAATTATTTTGAGAACGTCAGAAACGATATTTACTGGAATTTTATTCAAACATTCATGTTAATCTTTAATTCGCAATATTACTGTTTTTGCAAAAGTTCTTCCGTAATATTACAAAATTAAATTTTTAATTAATAGATATTTGCAAAAGATATTTAGAAATAAAAGATTAAAAATGAAACGAAAATACATCACCTTGCAATTTCAACGTCACGAATTAAAGATTAAATTAGAAAATAATCATAAGGTTGTTACGGTTTAACTTACCGCTGGGCTGAGTCCACGCGCGGCACTTCCGCCGCGTCCCTTAGTGCGGAACTTAGTGATTGCCTGTTCAGCAAGGTCCGCCCTCTCCTCAGCTTCCTCGAGTTCCTGTTGCGCCTTGCGGAACTTGGCAAGATTCAGCGCGGCAATCTCCTCCGCCTCCTCAATCTGCCTCTTATATGTCTTGATCTTTTGCTGGAGCTTGTCAACCAGATCCTGCATACGCTCGTGATTCTTACGGTCCTCGTCCGCCTGGAAACGAAAAGAAAAAATAAGGTCACTTCAATAAAACTCTTTCATACTCGGTAAGTGAATTAGATTGATGATAAAATCAAAACAAATAAAAAATAATCAAATATAAAATAATTAAACTTAAAAATAAAGAATTTAGCATCTCATGGTTAATATTAATCTAATATCTCTCTTATTAATTATAAAAATATTAATTAATTTTTTTTTAAGCAAAATACATAGATTAATTTTCTATTTGAATAGAAAAAATTAAACTTTCTATTTGAATAGAATTTTTATAACAAATTGGAATTTTACCTGGAAGCTCAGCTCCTTGATGCGGCGCTCGGATTTGCGTAAGTTCTTTTGGGCGTCGGCATGTCTCCTTTGTTCGCCATCGAGTTCGTTCTCCAGCTCGCGCACGCGCTGTTCCAGTTTCTGAATGGCCTTCTTGCCGCCTTTGAGAGCATTCGCCTCGGCCTCGTCCAGGCGCACTTGCAACTCCTTGATTTGCGTCTCCAAAGCCTTGCGCAGCTTCTCTTGAGTCTGGGCATGATCCTGCTCGGCGCGTAGCTCATCGGCCAATCTAGCTGCGTCCACCATCGCTTTCTTCGCCTTCTCCTCAGAGTTCTTTGCCTCGTTCAGTAACTCATCCAAGTCGGACTAATGGATAAAGAAACACGAACTGTGTAATCCACTTATCCCTTTTATAAGAAACGTTCTACCAAGTTATCAAAAGCTAATCGATACTCACGTGGAGGGTCTGCAATTCGGCCTCGAGTTTCCTCTTAGCACCAGAAATGGAGGCATTCTGGGCACTCAGTTCGTTCAACTGTTCGTGACAATCAGCAAGTTCCTGTTCGGCCTGGCGACGACCGCGATCCGCCTGTTCAAGAAGTGTGCGGCTTTCCTCGAGCTCGTTCTGCAAAGCATTAGCGCGGCGTTCCGAGATGCCGAGGAGTTCCCGGGCCTCGTCACGCGCTCTCTGTTCCTCCTCAAGTGCGGTCTGCACATCCTTAAGCTGCTGCTGATATCGCTTAATGTTCTTCTGCGCCTCAGCGTTTGCTTTGTTCGCGTGATCCAGTGCGATCTCTAGCTCGTTGA